TTTGGAGCCCAGGCGACGTCTCACTTGACTCTTTAGGCCAGTTATTTGATCGCATTCGCGCAGCTGCCGAAGACGATCAGCTGCCTTTTCTCTCTTGCGACCGAGTGGAAGCCGCGCTCAAATGTATGAAAGCACGTGCTGGTCAAGGGGTAGATCAGCTTTCCCCTACAGACATGCAGCGGCTTCCACACGGAGGGCTTCTTCAGCTCGTGCAGCTGTTGCAGGCCTGCGAGGCTCGGATTACGTGGCCATGGCAAGTCCTACTGGTCATAGGAAGGCTACTGGGGAAGAAGTCTGGAGGTGACAGGGTGATCGGGCTGATGGCCATGCTCACTAGAGCGTGGTCATCAGCTCGTGGAGAAGATGTCCGCCTCTGGACCTCCTCCTCAGAGCCCGCGTGGGATGCCGCGATCCGAGGCAACTCAGCACTTCGTGAGGCTTTCGTGCGAGCCTTGCAAGATGAAGCATGTATGCGTTTGGGAATCGAGTTCGGCACGGGTTTAATCGATGTCGAGGCTTTTTACGACTCGATGTCTTGGGGAGCTCTTGTTGATACCTCCCTTCGGCTACAGTTTCCTGCTACTGTTCTCGGATTGGAACTTCAGAATTGCGCGGCCCCGCGTACCCTCGCTCAAGACGGGTGTTTCTCGGCCGCTTTCCAGCCTTCGCGGAGCATCGTCCAGGGCATTCGGAGTGGTGTTCGTTTCGGGAGATGCATGGTTTACTTTATCCTGGCTAAAATCACCACGGCGCACGTCGGGGCTTCCATGAGGATTTGGGTCGACGACTTATACCAGAGGGTGATGGGGTCCAGGAAAGTGGTCCGTGCTCAGCTCTTTGGGTGCCTCCGCGACACTTGCGATGAGCTCGGCAAGGCAGGGCTGAAGGCAGCCTCCAAGAGTGTTTTAGTGTGCTCGCAGTCCAGCGATGGGAAGCTGATTGCAGCCAAGCTCAAGAAGTTGGGCTACACAGTCCACAATGTTTTACAAGCTCAGTACCTTGGCGTGGACCTCGGTGCTGGCCGTCCTGCTCGCTCCTCACGGCGCAAGCGTGTTGTCAAAGCTTCTATTATGACTGGTAAGATTCGCAAGTTCGCGAGGGCGTCTCGGAGATATCAGGTCACTGGGCGTCTGGAGCGAGCAGGGGCCCAAGCAGTTGGCTCGTATGGGCATCAAGTCCACGGGTCCTTCGGATCTCACCGCGTTGGTTTTCGGCGTCGCCTCGGAGCTGCTCTAGGCTCCAAGCAGAAAGGACGGTGCCTTACTACACTTTTGGACTTGAAAGCTCCAGGAGCCGACCCGTTCGTGAAGTTTCCCAGGGATACTATGAAGCTCTGGCTCGACACGTGGTTCAGGTTCCCCGATATTCGTCCCATGGTCCGTCAGGCTTGGCCTCAGGTTGTTCGGCGCCTCCAGAACATCGTTCCGTCCCAGTTCGCTAGACAAGTTCGAGGCCCTATGGGAGCTCTTATCGGGTATATGCTCGAGGTTGGCTGGACTCCCTCGTCTCCCTCAGAATGGACTACGCCAGGGGACGAAGGTGCTCACTGGCTTTTTCCCGACAGTGGCCTCACAGGTTTCGGGGACACTTCAGAGGTGCTCGACGAGTTTCAACAATCGTTTCAAGACGCCGCTTGGGCGAAGGCAGCGCAGCACTACTGTGGCGAGGGGTCGCCCCAGGGAGTCGACAACACCAGCTACCGTCGGTTCCTTCGGAGTCTCCAGGGCAGCAAGCACGGGCATCGTCTTTCGGAAACGATGATCAATGTGGCTACTGGGGGGTTCTGGCCTCGGCAAAGGGTAAACGACGAAACTCGACATCGTCTTAGTCCAGTTTGCCCGAGGTGCAAGGAGCAGCCCGAGACACCACTACATCGATTTTGGCTTTGTCGGTGCAACAGTGTGGAGCACAAAGCTTTCAAGCAGTCAGATGATCTAGTTCCTCGCGCAGTCTCTTGTGGCGAGAGCGAAGCATGGTTTTGGTTCCGAGGGCTCATCCCGCGCGCCTGGACGGCCGTACCCCCAGCTAGTACCGAGCCTCAGTGGATCACTGTTGGGGGGAACGAGCCGCCAGAGCTGAACGATACTACATTGGGAGAGGGACGTATTGGGGAACCAGTCATCATCTTTGGAGATGCTTCTGGAGGCCCTGACGCTCGGGAACCATCCTTCAGGCGAGTAGGAGTTGCTGCTGTTTCGTTGGCATCGTACGATCCACCAGTCGTCCGTGCAGGCGTTTTAGGCCCTCTCCCAGGTAGGAAGCAGACTGTACCCCGCGGAGAACTTCAAGGGCTTATGTTGGCTCTCCTGTACTCCAGAGGCCCTTTGATTTATGTTACTGATGCTTCCGGAGTTTGTGATGGTTGGTATAATGGGTTCTATGAGAGACCCGCTGGGGAGAGTATGGGGGCTTGGGATACTATTCGGTCTATTATCCAGAGTACTGAGCGTGACACGTCACTTATCTCCGTCCTCAAAGTAGACTCCCACCTCTCCCCAGCCCAGATTATTCAGAAGAATATTCCGAGGTTTCTGGTCGTGGGCAACACGGTTGCCGACGAACTTGCAGGTGTAGCGGCACAACGATGTCGACTGGACAGCACCCATCGGACCCGCGTCGTGCAGGTCGAAAGAGATGCTTTGCGTGTTCGGTGCAGACTGTTGCGAGTTGCCCTGGAGGTTTTCAGCTCGGATTCACAGGCGCAGCAGCCTCGACAGCGAGGCGAACGACGTGGCGGCGGAGGCGCCCAGGACGGGGACGTCGTGGAGCCGCCCCTGCCGCCTCCTCTCCCTCCTCCTCCCTCTCCTGCCGCCCTGTCCGTTTTCCACTCATCCCACCGTCTTGGGCCTAGTGGTCGTTTCTGTTTGCGCTGTAAGGGGTCTGCCTCGGTCGACACTGCCACAGAGTGGCGATCTACCCCTTGTTTCGATCTCGTTCCTGGGAGCTCCAATGTCTTGCATCTGCCCGCTGGTCAACCCTTGCATCTTTGTGGGGGCTGGGTGGGGTCGTCTCACAAGATGGCTTTTCACAACGACTTGGGGGTGTGGCATTGTACATCGTGTGGCTTCTTTTGTAACGAGCTCCTGTCTCCAGGTTTGAAAGCGTCTTGCACTGGGCCGCTTAACCCCACCAGAAGAGAATATCTCCGAAGGTTGGCGCGTGGGTTGTGGCCTAAGGCGCTCACCCGAGCTCAACAGGCAGCTCGAGCCTCGGGTGGCTAGTGACTCGGATCACCTCGTGATGGCGTCCACTCCACTCCACTCCACCCCTCCTCCTCCTCCTCCTCCTCCTCCTCCTCCTCCTCCTCCTCCTCCGCCTCATCCTTCTCTTCCTCCCTCGCCCCCCTCCCGATCCACCATCCCCCGTCCCCCTCCACCTCCTGTGCCCCTCCTCATCCTTGTCGTCCTACCCGCTCCTCCGAATCGTGATCATCCTCCTCCTCATCCTCCTACCCCTCCGCCTCATCAGCATCACCATCAGCATCATCAGCAGCATCAGCAGCAGCATCATCATCAGCATCATCAGCATCATCATCATAATAATCAGCATAATAATAATCATCAGCATCATCATCAGCATCATCATCAGCAGCGCCATCATCGGTATCATCGGCATCATCGCCGTCATCAATCAGCGTCAGCATCATCAGCATCATCATCAGTATCGGCATCGTCGGCATAATCGGCACCATCGTCATTATAAGCATCAGCATCATCATCACCATCAGCAGCATCAGCACAAGTATCATCATCATCATAAGCATCAGCATCGGCATCAACATCAGCAGCAGCATAATCATTGTCAGCAGCAGCAGCAGCAGCATCAGCATCATAATCAGCATCAGCATCAGCAACAGCATCATCAGCATCGTCATCATCATGATGGTCATCACCATCATCAACATCACCACCACAACCACCGTCGTCGTCGTCGTCGCCATCATCATCACCCCCATCATCAGCATCATAATACTAATCATCATAAGAATCATCATCCGCAGCACCACGAGCATCATCATCGTCACCACCAGCATCGTCCTCCTCAGCATCATCATCATCAGCATCGTCAGCATCGTCACACTCAGCACCATCATCAGCAGCAGCAGCAGCATCGACATCGGTATCATCAGAATCATCATCAGCAGCAGCATCATCAGAATCACCATCAGCAGCATCATCACCATCATCACAGCATCGGCATCAGCATCAGCACCAGCAGAATCATCAGCATCACCATCATCAGCAGCCTCATCATGGCACAGTCAGAATCGGTATCGGCATCGTCAACGTTATCGTCAGAATCATCATCAGCATCAGCATCACCATCGCCATCACAATCACCATCACCTGCATTCTCAACATCATGCTCATCAGCATCATCATCAGCATCGTCGGCGTCGTCATCACTGTTCGTGTCAGTATCACAATCAGCATCCGATTCAGCATCATCATCATCATCATCATCATCATCATCATCATCATCATCATCATCATCATCATCATCATTAGCATCGTCAACATCATCAGCTTGAGCATCATCACCATCATCACAGCATCGGCATCAGCATCAGCCCCAGCAGAATCATCAGCATCATCAGCATCAGCAGCATCATCATGACACAGTCATAATCGGCATCGGCATCGTCAACGTTATCGTCAGAATCATCATCAGCATCATCGGCACCATCGCCGTCACAATCAACATCACCAACATCCTCAACATCATGATCATCAGCATCATCGCCAGCATCGTCGCCGTCGTCTTTCGTATCAGCATCATCATCAGCATCATAATCAGCATCATCATCAGCATCGTCATCATCAGCATCATCAACATCAGCATCAGCATCATAATCTGCCTCATGTCCATCAGCCTCATCATCATCATCAAACTTAACGTCATCTTCGCATTCATCATCATACGTCTCCTTCGCGTGTTCCCCCCTTTCGCACGTATTCATACTACACCTGGAACTCTCGCCTAGCGTCAGGCGGTTGGTCCTGGAAGGTGAGCACCTCCGCCTTCTTCCTGAGGTCCCACACGACGGTGGCGCCCGTGTTGGAGGACGAGCACAGGATGTGCGGCACGCCCCTGTTCCAAGCGCAGCAGAGGACCTCCGCGGACCGCATCCTCCTTCTCAACCTCCCCCCTATGTTCTTCTACACTTCGTAATCCTGCACAACATCACCATCGCATCGGCATGTCATTATGACCAGCATGAAACCATCACGTTCGTAATCAACCGCGTCCTCACCACCTGGCGATATCAGTATACGTCCCCCCATGCTGACAGATCATCAGCATCAACATCCGCAGCACAAGCAGCATCATCATCAGCAGCAGCAGCATCAGCATCAGCATCATCAACATCAGCAGCATCATGATCATCAGCAACATCGAAATCAGCATCATCAGCATCCGTATCTCATCATCAGCAGCATCGTCATCATCAGCTTAAGCAGACTCATCGGTATCATCACCATCATCGTCGTCATCATCGTCATCGTCATAATCATCAGCAGCAGCAGAAGCAGCAGCCTCAACATCACCACCAGCATAATCATCATCACCACCACCATCATCATCGTCATCAGCACCAACAACATCAGCATCATCAGCATCATCATCGGCAGCATCGGCATCACCGTCGTCAGTAGCATCATCATTAGCAGCAACAGCACGGCCAGCATCGTCATTAGCAGCAACAGCACGGCCATCATCATCATCATCATCATCATCATCATCATCATCATCATCATCATCATCATCATCAGCATCAGCATCAGCATCAGCATCATCATCAGCATAAGCATGAGCATCGGCAGCAACAGCCTCATCAGTGTCAGTATCATCCTCATCATCATCAAGGTCGTCATCCCCATCATGATGATCATCATCATCAGCATCATCATAAGCATCCTGATCATGATCAGACTGATCGTTATCAACATCGACATCGTCATCATGATCCTGATCATCATCATCATCATCATCATCATCATCATCATCATCATCATCATCATCAGTATCATCATCATCATCATCATCATTATCATCATCGACATCATCATCACCAGCAGAAGAAACAGCAGCAACATCGTAATCCTCATCAATCTCGGCATGAGCATCATCAGCAGCAGCAGCAGCAGCATCAGCATCAGCATCAGCCTCAACCTCAGCATCAGCATCATCATCATCAGCATCGTCATCAGCATCAGCAGCAGCAGCATCATCAGCAGCATCATCATCAGCACTATGATCATCGTCATCACTATCATCCGCACCAGACACACACACACATACTCATCGTCATCATGATCCGCATTGACACCACCTCCACCAAAATCATCACCATCATCATCACCATCAGCAGCAGCAGCATCGCCATCATCATCACCACCAGCAACATCATCACCATCATTACCATCATCACCCTCATCACCATCACCATCAACATCGCCATCGTCATCCGCGCCATCAACATCGCCATCATCGTCTTGCCAATCCCTCCACGCCATTATCCTTGTCATGTCGCCTCCTCCGCCTCCTCCTCTCCTTCCCCCTGTAGACGGCCCGTAAAGATTGTGGCTAAAGTCCTGAGAGCCAGAGAGCCGGAGCGACAAGGATCGTCCCCTGAATCCAAAGTTCAAGGCGATCAATTCCAGGGCATACGAGCGAGGCAAACGGGACAAGCGGCGCCGCTAGCATCATAAGCTAAACTTTCGTTTCGTACTGAAGGGCGCCATGCTCGATTGCCATCGCGCTCCTGAGGTTGATAAGGGAAGGGAAAGGAAAGGGGGTGGGAGGGAAGACGAGAGGAGCAGCAGGCGGAAGGTGATGCAAGGGGGGTGAAAAGAGCGACGGAAAGATATGGATACTGGGATTATTGGACTCTGGATTGGCCTCGCGCGTGCGCATCGCAAGCGCATGACGTACAAGCAGAAAAGAAACTAGAACCACGCGCGCGCTTCGCGCACTTAGGTTCTAACAAGCACCCACCCTTGACAAGTCCATAACTGCATGCACTTACGCACATACCCTAATATGAATTAAAGAAACCACCAGGAAACGGACCGAGCATTACCGTCAAAACATACGCCCCGGCATCTTCTTCGCGACGCAACGCAAAATGAGGCGAAATGAGTTGAACGCTATGCAGTGGCAGTGGCATTGTATAAGCACGATCGCGTTAAACTAATGTCACGACGACCCATCGTAACGCAAGGAAACGTAGAACAGATCGAAACTAGTATCAAATCAACTGCACAGAAATGCAATGCAGTGGAAATCCATACAAAGCTGAGTACTGTCAAGAAATACCCTGCGGAACATCAATACGCAATACAAATGCACTGCAAAACTATGCGCGCTGCGATCGAACGCGAGAAATCCAACGACGAACCCGACAACCCAGGAAACGTCGAGTTCGGATAGCATTGAGACGGGGAATCCGACGCCGAAAGAGCCCTGGGAACCTGGGCTGGAGGTCGTAAGTGCCACCGGGCCCCTTGCACAGAGGAAAGGCGAGAGAGAGATGTGGGGAAAACGAGGAGGGAACGAGGAGGGAGAAGCGAGAGGACGGGCCGCACCAGGGATGAGAGAAGAGTCATGCCAGGGGACGGCGGACGGAGAAACAGAGGGAAGGAAAATACGAGGGCGGGATGGACGAGCCAGGAGGAACGAGAGAGGAGGTGGCAGGACAAGCAACAGAAAGGCGCGACAGAGAAGGGAAGGAGCAAGAAGGAGGGACGGAAGACCCATGAGGCCCCCATGGGGCCCTCGTAGACTCGTGGGGCCATATATGACGAACATGTGGAACAGTTTGGGTCTCTGTCTTGTTTGGGCCAGCTGAAAGACCTGTGTTGACTCGCATGTGGCCCGCGGGGTGGCACCCCGGAAACTTCTAGGACCGCTTTGGGGTTTTTCAGGGAAAATAAGGAGTAATTGAAGGGGCCCTGAGGCACACAAATAAATACACACAAATAAAAGGATTCCCCATATTTTCCTACATTTTCTGGGCTTTTGTCTTGCCCCCACTTCCCATATGTTTCCATATTTTCCTGAGAGTCGACGAGTAGTTGTGTCTGTGTTGTTTCCCTCCTGAGTCATATTGTGAGATATCGGAACATTCACTTTCGGGCCATCTGAAGGGCTACTTGGGCCGAGGTTGGAGCCGCTGTATACTGGGAGGAGCATCTGATGCCAAATTGAGGACCCTCGGAGGGCCTCTTGAAACGGTCGCCGCGTGTCCGAAACCCCTTTATAATAAGCTTCAGCCGACAAATTGTGAATCTGAGAGATGCAACCAACAAATCCGTGTGTTTCTAGCAGAAACTGGTCAGCTCGGAGTCCTCTCTAGGCTCTTTTGCGGACAAGGAATATCAGGACACAGCTCCCCCCTTGACCGCGTCTCGCGGCAGCGGGATCGTCCAGAACACCACGGCTTCAACCTTGAGCGGCGCCCAACAGGCACCTCCACTTGACCGCGTCTCGCGGCCAGAGGGGCGCCTCAGAACACCACGGCGTGAACCTTGAGCGCCCCGCGTTTCGCAGCCACGGGGGCGCCTCGGGACTCCACGGCTTCAACCTTGAGCGCATTCCGGGCCCCCCTTGACTGCGTCTCGCGGCCGGGGGGACGCCTTGGGACACCGCGGCTTCAACTTTGCACGCTCCCCGGGTGCCCCCCCCATGACTGCGTCTCGCGGCCGGGGGCGCACCTCGAAACACCACGGCTTCATCCTCGGGCGCCCCCCGGGCACCTCCCATTGACCGCGTCTCGCGGCCGGGGGGGCACCTCGGGACACCCTGGGAGGAGTCGAGGTGTCGCGGGAGACAGGAGGGACCACGAATCGCCCGCCCCATCGCCGGGCGACGGGCCACGAAAATGGCCCGCCGCCGAAAACCACGTTCGTGCCTCGGCCCCCCCCCCTGGGCCAGCGCGACGCTGAGCGCCATCCAGGACAGCAATTCCAACTGGACTGCAGGGTGGCGCGCTGTTCGCGTGCGGCCAAGCGCCCGACAGGATGCGCCGAGCCTGCCTGGGCTGCTCGGGCCACCGTTGCTTCGAACCCTACAACGGACGCGGGCGGCAGCCAGCACGGCACTCGGCACGGCATGCAGCACATTCTACCGCACGGCACCGGGCATGGCACCAGGCAACACTCCCTGTGGGTTCCTGGTGCCCCGCAAAGTCACACTCCCACTGAAGAGAACAAAAGGGGATGTACGTACCCGACGCGATCCGTTATCGCCTGCGCCAAGGTCCGATAACGCCCCCCGCACTTCGCCATGAGAAGGTTGCGGCCACAATTTCGAAGAGGATCCAGTCGTGGCGCCGAGAGGATTCTAGCAACGCGGGATCTGAGGGCATGGCTGCACCAGGCCACGCAGAGGGCCATCCACGGCTGGCTGCGGTGCGTTGCGCGGGGCGCTTCTGGGTCACCGCCGAGACTCGAGGGGCAGAAAACGGCAGGAGCAAACACTTTCGGAGGTCCGCGCAGGCTTCTGGATAGGCGAAGGACCCCCCTGGCGAATTCAGCGCGCCAGGGAGGGGGAGGGGGTCCAGCTATGATCCAAGAAATCGACGCGGACCTCATAACATGTGTTGATGCTTACGCAATATATCCAATCGAAACACAAGAAACCTCCCCTCCCACGTCGCATGGCGCCCACATGCACCCCCAGGCGGCTACCAACCAGGCAAGGAACCCCACCAAACCCAACTCCTTAGGGGCATGCTTGTCAACTTTGACCCCGAACATCATGTGGTGCAAGATATGTGGTGTGAGCTACGTGGTGCGGTCAATGTGGTGAAAAGTACATAGTGCAAGCTGCATGGTGAAAGCTACGCGGTGCAAACCATGCAATGCAAGTTCTGTGGTGTAAGCCATGTGATGCACGATATGGTTTGCAAGCTACGCGGTGCATAATATGTGGTGCAAGCTACGCTGTGTAAGCTATGTGGTGCAAGCAGCGGTGCAAGCCCTTCGCTGTATTGCGTGTGGTGTGAGCTGTGATGTAAGCTGCGTGGTGAAGGATGCGGCAAAGGTTATGTGGTGCAAGGTGGTGCAGATTAGCTATGTGGTGCAATACAGGGCTGAATCTAAACAGTGCTTTTCGTTTTCGTTTTGTTTTTGTGTTTCCCTCGTTCTGTCTTCAATCCACCTCTACTGCAAAACGAAGTCGAAACGAGAACGGTCCACGAAATCGCCACAACACCGTTTAGGGCCAGCCCTGGTGCGATATGCGTGGTGCAGGCTATGCGGCCGCCCAGCGCACGAGGCGCCCACGAGGCGCCCATGGGCGCCCACGGGCGAGCGTCAGGCGAAACGTCGGCACAGCCACACTGTGCACGAGGCGCCCGCAGAGCGCCCACGAGGCCACAGGCGGACACCACGGCCGCCAACTGGGCACTGGGCAGAACTCCGCCAAACCCAACCAATCCCTGAGGGACACACATTGAAGCCTTCTGCTTCGGAAGAAGTAGTTTAAGAGCCCCTAGTGCAAGCAGTGCCTGGGGAGTGCACATGCTTTCGCACACCGATCCTAGCCAGAAGCTTCCTGGGCTCCAGCATCGGTGTATACACCCCCTCAAGGCTTGATGCATCAAGTGTCGTAACATCAGACCCCAGGATGACCTGGGGTTCACTCCTGCTGGCCTTGCACACCAGATCGATCCCTGACGGCTCTAAGGGTCCCAAACTGGCCCTCCAGAGGCGAAATCGAGGAGAAGCATCCGGCGCGATGCTTCTACCCACTACCCAGATCACCCTCACCAAAAACACAAGTCGCATCTGGGTCCGTCAAGTTCCAATGACAATGGCGCGCTCACACACACACACACACACACACACACGTCCCGCCAGGCCGTCGGAGACTCTTCGAAATCGTCTTGGGGGCGATTCGGGGCCCTCCGGAGCCGCCGTGACGGCGGGCTAAGATCGATCAGGGGAATATGGCTGAGTTGTGGGCGAGAGGCCTCATAGACGTAGCTTCCGGTCTCTTTGGAAGTTTTTCGGAGCCCCGTTGGGAGCCTATTGGGGATCTCCTGGAGCCTTTCCCTACCTCCTTGGGTCTCTTGGGTGGTTCTTCGGGCCCCCTTTTGGGTCTCCTGGGGACCTCTAGGGGCATCTCGGGGGCCTGTTGGCGGCCCTGGGGGTCATCTGTGGGCGGAGGGCTCGAAATGGCAGCTCGGTTCCCCCTCTCGGGTCCCTCTTGAGGTCCTCTTGGGCCGTCTCCGGGGCTTCTTGGTCCTTCTTGGGGCCCTGTTGGGCCGTCTGGGGGCCTCTTGGGCAGTCCCAGGGCGATACCACTTGGGTCGTCTTGGACCGTCTTGAAATCAAGAAGGCAAATATGCTAAAAATGTACGCTTTCCCACGGGAATGGGGCGAGTTTTGCTTATCGAGCCCCCTTGGGGGTTCTCTTGGAGCCGTCTTAATTAAATCGTCGTGGACGCCTCTTGGGCCGTTTGAAAAGCATCTTGGCCCGTCGGAGATCCCTGGCAGGCGTCATAGGGATGACTCGGGGCCGCCTTGGGCCGCCGTGACGCATGTCGGAGTCCTCTCGGAGGCGACTGTCGCCCCCCCAATGCAGGCCCAGACCACGGCACAAACATTTGCGGTCGGGGCTCTGGCCCCGGGGCCCCGGGGCCCAGTCCCCCGTTGCATGTATAAAACGGCGGCGGCCAACGACGACGACGACGACGACGACGACGACGACGACGGCAGCGGCGGCGGCGGCGGCGGCGGCGACGGAAGATAACAGCGAACAAGACACGACGACGGAACGCCGGCAGCGACGCAACCCACGATGACGGCGAAGGGCAACGAGGGCGGAAGCAAATACAAGGGAGATCTTCGCACAATTGCGATGCTGACCTGAAGAAACCGTCCAGGACGCACGGCGTCACACTGGAAAGCAAAGCGAACGGAGCACACGAGTTCGGTCTGGAAAGAGCTGGCCCGAAGACGCTTCGAAGTTCACCCCACAGCTGAAGCCGAAGCCAGAGCTGAGGATCATAGAAATGGAAAGGGCACGCCTGCAGGCTCGGCCACCCCCTCCTCCCCACAGAGGGCCTCGGAGCCCGCGTGCTTGTTGTTGGCCGAGGGCTTGTACAGCTCTGGCTGCTGGATGTTGCTGATGTCGAGAATGTTGACCTGGCGGCGCGCGCCACGACACGCCTCGAAACGGGAGGGAGGCAGGGAAGAAGCCGAGGGGAAGGAGGGAGGGAGGGGGCGGGAAGGCGGAGAGAAGGAGGAACAGTTTATTATTCCGAGGCCTCCTAGATGGGGTCCGAGCATATGGGGTCGGAGGATCGCGCCGCATCGCCAACGCATCGCCGATGCATCGGCGATGCATCGGCGACGTCGGTGATGCATCGGCGCCATCGGCGTGGAGAAATTTGCCCCACATCGAGCCGCATCGTCGATGCATCGGCGATGCGGAGTGATCTCTTGACTCCATTTACTTGAACCCCATCCGGGAATCCCAGATCATTCCGCAGCATGAACGAGACCCGAGCGCAAGCCTCGAGATGGGAGAAGGCGTCGCGCATGCCCAATCACGCTCGTGGCACAACGGGCCCCTCTCTCTGGGCCGCTCCCTTTGGGGGGGGACGGGCGGGTCCGCCTCCGAGTCCGCTCCTGCGGTCGCCATCAGGTTCGGCTTGAACGGGTTGAACTCCACGCAGTTCACTGGCGCAGGGGATTCTCACAAGCAGCGAACGTATCCACATCCACGCACTCGCTGTCTGGATTCCGAGGCGCGATCTCGCGGATGCGTGGTCGCAAGGATACGTTCCGCGCGGGGCATCCGCGAAAGAACGCCACGTATACGCGGGGTCGCGGCCCAGGGGCCCGGCCAGCGAGGCCGCGGATACAGATATGCCTTTCGCGCACGGAACTCTGGCCCTCTGTTTCCTGGGCAGCTTGACCACAGGCGGCCGTCTTGGGCCGATGATCGAGGAACAAACAAACATAGTTTCTCTGAGATCTATGTGACGCCTTGGATCGGCGTTGGACCCCTCCCTAGCAAGCAGAGCGCGACAGGTGCGGCGCTGGAAGCACCGCCAAGCGGGCCCCGAGCCAATGCGAGAAATCCGTACGGACCACCGAGAAATTATGATTATGCTGTTTTCTGTTCTTCGAGAGGGAATCTCGACATCCAAGCAGATATCTCATCTTTGGGCGTCGCTACTCTTAGGGATCCTCGCCTCCAGTGTTTCTGCCGCCTCTTCGGCCTCTGACACGCGCTCTCTTGTGCCTGCGCTAGTGCCAAGCGTCGTCATGCCTTGATCGCCTCGCGTCTCTCTTTCCCCACCGTCCAAAACTCTTGGACTCTTGGCCGCACTCGACCTTCCACTTAGTGATTGATCTGTCTCTCTCTCTCTCTCTTTCTCTCTCGCCCCTCTCTCTCTCTCTCTCTCGGTCTCTCTCTCTCTCTCTCGTTCTCTTTCTCTCTTTCTCTTTCATTATCTCTCTCTCTCTCTCTCTCTCTTTCTCTCTCTCTCTCTCTCTCTCTCTCTCTCTCTCTCTCTCTCTATATATATATATTATGTATATTTATATATCCCTCTCCTTAGATGTAGATACATACACATATATATATATATATATATATATATATATATATATAATATTATAAAACACCACGCAACATGTATGTTGGCCCCATGTTGGCCTCCTGGGGGGGGGGGGGGGCAGCGCTAAAAAGAGTTCCCCTCTTCTTTGATCGATCTCCTCCAAAATGGCCCCAAGAAGCGCCCAGGAGGCCCAAGACATCCCAAGATGGCCCCAAGATGGCCCCAAGAAGAGCCCCCAAGAGGCCCCAGGAGGCCCCCAGGGGGGCCCAAGCGGCCCCAAGAGACCCCCCCGAGGCACCCAAGTCGCAAGAGCCCCCCACGACCGCAAGAGACCCCCAAGACGTCCCAAGAGGCCACCAAGAAGCACCCAAGAGATACCCCAAGAGGCTCCGAGCGGCATCCAAGAGACCTTTGGCCCTTTTGTTTGCACTCTCCTCTCCTCCTCCTCCTCCCTCCTCCTCCTCCTCCTCTCTCCTCCTCCTCCTCCTCCTCCTCCTCCTTCCTCCTCCTCTTCCTCACCATATTCATTTCCTTCCCCCCACTCCCTCATCCATCCATCCATCCATCCAGCCCCCTCCTTCTCTACCTCCCTACTTCGCACGGTTCGGCCGTCCCCCTCTTTGCTCCCGCACTTCCCTGATCACCTCAACTCGCCTGGGCATCGTTACTGGATGTGTTGCTGGGGATATTTGTTTAAATCAGCGGCCGCAGGCGAACGCGCCAGCGGCGAGTCCAGTAGAAGCTGGGCACGCAACCGCGAATTAGCCTAAAACGACGGGGCGCAGCCACACCTAAAGCAGCGGACAAAGCCTCACGCAGCACCTCGGCGGCGAACCGGCGAAGGGAAGGGGCCGGCTGTAAACTGAACCAGTACTGCCAGGGTGCAGGAATGCAACGCGTCGGAAGCCGCAGGTAGACGGGGGCCCGTCGACCAGGGACAGCAGCAGACGCGGAATTAGATGCAAGGGCGCAAGCCCCCTGACAACTGCGAAGGTACCAGGGTGGCCGCAGCCAGTGAACCGACTGTCGGATGCCGAATTGGGTTCCCAGAGGGGACGTAAGCGTTGGCAAGCTGCGAAGTACCAGGGTGGCCGGGGCCAGGAGATCCAACCGCAGCAGAATGCACAAGTGCGAGGAGCAGTCAAGCTGCAGCGCGGCCAAGAGCGCGATCCGCGGTCGGCACACCAGGGGCGGCGACAAACGCGGACGGACGGCGCGGGGGCGAACACCGGCACAGCAGCCGAGGTCGCGGCCGCGGCGCAGGGGAGCCACGAAGGTGCCTAGGATGAACCACAGGCGCCAGTAGCCCTCACCCGAGAGGGAGGCGAACCGCGATTTGCGCGGAAAAGGAAGGCCAGGACCGGTGGGGAATGGCACCACCGAGCTGGCGAGGGAACCGGGAGCCCAGCCGCGGGGGGGGCAGAGGGCGCCCGGGGACGCGGGGGAGTGACGCGCCAAGAGCGTTTAACCGCGATTTGCTCGGAAGGAGAACACGGCGATCGGCCGGGAGGGGTGGGCGGCGGGGCCAGCTGTCGAGCCTGCGCCGTGGCAGACAGCGGCCGCATCTGGCCCGTTCCACGCGCCACGATGCAGGGAGGAACCAGGAAAGGCGGCAACCCTGACGCCGTGGCGCAGCCCGTTTCTGGCCAAACGGGCCGGCCTCCCTTGGTGAGGACGCCGGGGCCGAACCTCCGTCCCCCTCTGGCCAGGCGGGCCCCGCCTCTCCTTGAGAGGTCTGCCGGCCACCAGGGTTGCCCGTGGGGGCGCCAGGGCACGGACTGCGGATACCAAGGGTGCCTCGACCGCCTGCGGGAGGGCGGGGAGGGCCAGCCGCACCCTGCCTGCCGGCCAACGGGCCCAATTCCTCTCGGCGGGACCGGGGGCACGGGGTGCCCGCCCCTTTCTGGCCCCACGGCCCTGCCTCCCCAAGAGGGACCTGATGGCCACCAGGGTCGTCCGCAAGGACGTCGGGACTTGGACGTCGGGCGCTTGCAAGAACTGCCGGCCACCACGGGTGTACCCTTGGACGCCAGAACGCGGAGGTCGGATGACAAGGGCGCCTCGTTCGCCCGGGAGGCGAAGGGGAGAGCCAGTCACTCCACTTCCTACGGGCACAACGGGCCCTGTTCCTCTTGTTGAGACAGATGAGGCTGTCGCCCCCCCCCCCTCCAAACCTGACGGGCTCTGCTACCTCCAGTGAGCCCTGATGACCGCCAGGGTTGTCCGCGTGGACGCGTGGGCACGACGTCGGACGCGGAGGGCGCCCCGTGTGCCTGCGAGAGGGAGGCGCGGGGCAGACGCTCCGCCCCCTCATGGCCAACGGGCCCTGCCGGTAACCAGGGCACGGGGAGGGGGAGAGCAGAGGGCCGCAGGAAGGGGGGGAGCGGACGGGGGCAGCCAGGAATCGGCGGCATGCTTTCCTGAGTCGCGCGCGGCTGCTCCTCCTGGGTCACGGCTACTAGCCTCGCCCGAAACAGGGCGGGCAGGGGGCAAGCCTTCCACGTTCGTCGGCGCAGGCTGTCCTCACGCCGCGCCGTCGGTCGGTCGGGGGGGGTGGGCGACAAGACCTGTTGTCGGTGCCTGCGCTGTGGCTGACGGCTGTCTCCTCTGGTCCGTTCCTCGCGCCTCGCTGCGCGGGGGCGCCAGGCGCCCCTCGCCCGCGCCGTCTCGGCGGCTCGGGAAGCGCAGCTACAACTGAACACAATTGACGCCGAGGTTCAGCGCGTCGCTCACGGCCCTCACATCGCAGTTGCGGCTGCGGTAGGAGCGCAGGAAGCTGGCGCAGGTTTGCCGGCCGCTCGCGTCGTCGCGGGTCGAGCGCGCCCCTGCTGCGATGCCTGGCGAACGCGCCACGCGCCTGTGAACATCGCACCCAGGGTGGCTTGGAGCCGATCGTCTCGCCAGGGGTCTCCCCGGGGAGACTCCACTGGATGCAGCTGATCTTGGTTCTATAGAACTGCTGTCCCGCGTCGGGTTCAAATTTTTCGGGCCCTTGGCGCGCGGCGGACCTCGCTTCCCGGGGCGGGGTAGTCGGCGGCAGGTCTTTGGAGCGGCGGCGGCGGCTGCCGCTGCTTCTGCTTCTGCTGCTGCCGCTGCTGCGTCCGTCGCCCGTCGTTCGCCGCACGCCGGGCCCGCCAGCGGCATCGGCGTCGCCAGGGGCCAGGTTTCGACACAGGGGCGGCAGGGAAACTGGGAAGCCGCCAGTCGCCGGGGCCAGGCCGGGCCTCCACCCGTTGCCAGGCGAACGCGCTGGAGGACCGTTGCGGCCTGGTTGTCGCCGTTCTTCGGTGCTCGAGCTCGCGCCGCTGCCAGGGAGGGAAAGGCCCGGGTGCTGAGAGCCGGCCATGGGAGAATGGCAGCGGGTGGTTGCAAATTCGCGCCCGTGCTCCGATTCCTGCGCCGGCGCCGCTTCCGTGCCCCCCCCACGGGCGGCAGCCACGTCCTTCTCGTGGGGCTCATAAGGCTCCTGCTCCCCATGCTGCTCTCGCTTGCTACTCTGCGACAGCCCCGCCTGGTTGGGCCCGCCGCCAGAGTCGCCCATGGTTTCGCGAGGCACGGCGGCTGCCTGGCCGGGAACGCCCGGCCATGCAGGTCGGGACGGGCCGCGCGGTTGGCCTCCAGGCGGGGGCCAGATCGCCTCCGGCGGCTGGGGCAGAGAGGACCGCTGCTCTGTGGCCCGCGGGGGCAAGCCCCTCTCGATGGCGTTCGCCAACGGACCTGTGCCTGCATTCGCTCGCGGGCGCGCCCCCATCTGCAACCGCGAGGCGGCAGCCAGATGCGGGGATGCCGCGGGTCGCTCCGGGCGCAGGCGCGTTGTCAGGCACCGGTCCTTTCGGGGCGTCCGTCGCCATCCCCGACGAGGCCCCGGCTTCGAGAAGGAGTTGCTGGGGCTCGCTATCCGCTCGGGCAGACTCGCTGCCAGGGAAAGGAGGGCGAATGGGCGCGACAGGGCTTCTGTCGACAAGCTGGCGGATGGCATCTATGTCCTGCCTCTGCAAAACTGGCCTGTTGTTCCTAACGGGCCAAGCTTATCTAGAAGAGGTTTGCTGGCTCGGGCGCTGGGATGCAAGGGTGCCTTGTTCGCCAAAGGACACAAGGAGGCAAGGATGCAAG